TATCTACAATTTATTTTATAAAATAATTTTTTCATTAATATATAAAATTTATATATAAATAAATTTTTATTTTTAAAATTTAAATCTTATATTTCACTTATGTATATATATATATGAGAGGCACCTCCTTTAGCTTATCCTCTTCCCTTACCAAACATCCCTAGGGAAACGGTCATCAAGATAAGAATCGAAATATCCAATGGCCTAGATTTGAAGAAAAGGTCAAGCGCCAACCCGGGGGATTTATTACAAACCGGTCCTCTAGGCGAACGCGTGGCCTGCTAAAATCACGTGTCAAATTTCTGTAGCAGTGTACCTTTTCCCTCCTAAAAATCCGACGGCCCAGATTCATTTCCGCCAAGCATATCGTTTTAGCGGCGGACCGAAGAGCTTGCACCGTCTTAATTCTAAACTTGGTTTGATTTCTTGTCTTTTTACGGTCTCCTCCGAGACCTATCTCTTTCATAAACCAAAAATCTTTACTTGTCTTCGATCGGAGTTTGGTTCTCTGTTTCCCTGTCTGTCTTAACCTCGACAGATATTCTGAAGATTTCCGGTATGTTCCGTCTGAAAATCCTTATCTGTTGAAGGTTTCTGGGGAAACTAACGAGTAAATTTTACAGAAACAGAAACGTTTTTTTTTTTTTTTTGAACGATGCTTTTAAGAAGCGCTTCCACTCCGATCCTAAAACACCCACAATCGCCGACGGCGTTGGACGGTGCCGGGAACCTCTTTCTAAACCGACCCATTTCCTTGACGGCATCACCCATCAATAAACTTGAAAGAACAGCGTCTGATGGTAACCTGAAGCTACTCACCATTCCCAGAAGGAGGAATTTCTGTACGAGTCACGTGGGGTCTCCGGTCGCGGTTAAAGAAGAGGGAATGGGTGTGTTTGCCTCGAAGGAAGCGGCCGGCGGTGGGAATGTTGGCGGCGGTGGCTTTAGTAGTGGTAGAGATGGGTGTGGAGACTGGGGACGAGGAGGGGACAAAGTGGAGGAATATTACCAGATGATGATAAAAATGTATCCCGGAGACTGCCTTCTTCTCGCCAATTATGCCAAATACTTGAAAGAGGTAAAAAGATCAAATCTTTTCTATCTTTTTCTCTCTTTTCAATATGGGTTTCATTGTTTTGATGGTGGGTTTTCCGAATTCGATTAGGTACGAGGTGATCTCTTGAAGGCTGAGGAGTATTGCGCCAGAGCGATTCTGGCGAATGCAACTGGGGATATTTTGTCGATGTATGCAGAACTGATATGGAGTAATCACAAGGATGGGAATAGAGCTAAGGCTTATTTTGAGCAAGCTACAAAAGATTCCCCTAATGACTGGTACAATTCATTACATTTGTATGATTTGAGTTTAGGTTGTAGATTGTAATTGATTGCTTTAATTCTCTGCAAAATTCATGCAGTAATGTTCATGCGGCTTATGCTCGATTTCTCTGGGATGCTGGAGTAGAGGAAGAAGAAGGGGAGGAGGAATTTCAGTTCCCCAAGCTCTCTACATTCCCACAAACACAATTTTCCCACGACCATTCTGTTACAGCTGCTTCTTGAGTTGGCTGATCTGATTGACAATGGTGGTCGTCTGGCCCGTCTTCATGTTTTCTCAAAAAAAGAAAAAAAAGAAAAAAAGGGTAATTTCTATTTTGTGCAGAGTAAGCATACTTGGGTTCCAACTTCCAACAATTTTCTACTAATGTAATTTGTCAAATGTAACTTTCTTTTTTTGGATAAAATGCGAAATTTCATCTTCTTGCTTCTCTCCATTTCACGCAAAGAATTGCCAATCAAAGAAAACAAATCACGCAAGGAATACTTCCTCTCTTCTTCCAAGTCCAAACAAGGTACCACGTTGGTCCTCATGCAATGATGCAATGTAGTATACCATGAACCTGAAAGATCGACTTCATTAACAATACGCAGCTGTTCAACAGAAAATGTTTGAAAAAGTCCTTTCTGACAATGGACTGTCTAAATTTTCAAAATATTTTCATTACACCATGCTTAAAATCCTAGCAGAATGATAATACGGCAAATGACGACACAGTGCCTGCTAATAGGGAAGCAGAATCTAAATGACAACCTCACCAATCTTTGCAAGCAACAAACAGAAGAACCAATGAGGCCCCGACCATGAACAAGACGACATCACAATCCACAACGTAGCATCTTTCATGCATTGACCATCAACAAATTTTGACTATTACACAGCCTTTATTTATGCAAAATGATTCAAGGGCTTTGAATGTGATCAAAGTACCACTGCCTTCCTCATTGCCGCAATTTCGATAGATCCCAGTTGAATGTGCTCTTCATTCTCTGAGCCTTTGTAAATGTGGGGCCAAATTTCACATGACAGCTGTAGAAACTAATGGTTCCTGCTCTTGGATAGCACATGCTCCTTCATCTGTAACACCAGACAAGGCAGAGTTCTCCTCATTTGTGGAGTCAGCGTTCTCCTCAGACTTTGTCTTTCCTTCATTGGCTGCCTTTGATGAGGCTGCCTTCACCTCACTCTTTGCCTTAGATGGAGTCGTCTTCCCTTGTTTAGTTGCACTGGACAACCTAGTCTTTTCAGAAGGCAGTTTAGGAAGTGACATCCGCTGTGGCTTCTTTGACTGGACAGGAGAAATTCCTTTAGTAGAGTTGCTCTGACAAGTCATCTCATCAAGACTTAGTCGGCCTGATGGGCAGCTATTGCTAATGTTACCTTCCGAATCTGCAGGAGTTGTGCTTTTCCTCCGACCCAGTTTTGGAGATTTAGCTCTTGTTGGTGGTATCTGCATTAATTAACAGCAAGTCCACAGGAATTAAGTTTGAATATGCTGTACCACAGAATGCCTACTACTTTATAGCACATACAGGAATAGAGGAAATTACATGGGCTTAGACTATGAGTAACAAGACATTCACGTATATGTTTATGTATATTTCATGCATATTCAGAATCACTGAATTATCTACTTTCTCAACTTTCATTTCAAAAAGCCACTTGGGTAGGGAGTCAGTCTAAGCACCTCTTGTTGTGACAAGCTAGTTTCAAATCATGAATAGAAGCTTTATTAGTTATACGGATGCCAAAAACTTACCTTCTTTAGCTCCACCTTAGGTGGAGGTTCCTGATAGAAGCTGGGGATAGGAGTTGCTTTAAAGTTCAAACTCTTCCTTAGCATCTTAATTTCAGCTTCTTGTGTCTCCTGACACAAATTGAAACTTTTTAATTATAATGGATAAATAGAAAATAATATGTTTAAGTCCATCACATACAAAATCTAGCACCTTGGACTTTGCCTGCAAGCTACTCTTCTCTAGCTCTCTTGCATTGATCTTTTCCTCTAGTTTAGAATAGAACTGTGCAACATGATTGTAAAAGGTTAGTTTGACAAACAGGTGGAGCTGGTAAATAAAACATAAAAGCTGAACTCTTGGGCATCCATGACAACACTAACCTCTTTCCTTTTCTCAGCTCGTTCATCACACTTAAAGCTGAAACCATAATTGGGAAGAGCACCCATCCTGCGTGGTTTGCCATCCTCTGCTTTGGGACTTCCATTACACAATTAAGGATTAACTTGAAATAAATTCACTTAAATAGAACTTATAGGCAAAACAAGAGTGCAAGACAGCCAGAGACACTATAATCAGAGCAGCCCCCTCAACCCACATAAGTAGTGCACAACAAAATGTTATTCAGAAGGATACAAAGATTGTGGGATTCCTTCAGCTTCATCAAGAGGTTCTTTCCTCAAAGGTTTCAGCCTTGTCTTCTCCCTTTATCCAGGAAATAAAAATTCAGAAATGGTAGGATAGGGAAAAAAAAAAATTAAAGAAAATTTTAAATCAAGTTTCTGGCCAGAAAAGGCCACCCTTTGTCACAATCACAAACTCCATAGCGAATACTGGCAAAAAAGAATTTAATAATGAAAATAGTTGCAAGAAGTACATACTCGAGGCCTTCAGGATAAGCTACGTCTAGCTTTTCAGATTGCTGTCAGATGCAGATGAAGAGGAAAAATTGATGATCAGAACACACAATAGCAATCAAAACGCAATAGATACACAAAAGCATCCTATACATAAACAAGAAACCAGTTACACCATTAATTCGTACCTTGGCTGCCTGCCTGTCATTAATTGATTGGCTTTTATCAGGCTGTTTTTGAAGCGAACTCCTAGTAACCAAACCATTTGAAGCAGTAGATGTGGCCTCTGCTCTTTTTCCATCATTGCCTTTCTTCACCAAACTTGATGAGTCATTGTTTGAACCCAAGTGCTTCTCATTCTTGCTCTTGTCTTGAACCTTATGTGGTTTGGATTTCTTCAGGTTGTCTGCACCTTTCACTCCTTCCTGTATGACAGGCATAGAAATGGATATTAAATCAAACAAAAATAAATCTATGGAGGTAGTCAAATAAAACAGAAATAACCCCCACCAACCTTAGAAACAGTCAGACCATTGCTTTGTGCAAAGTCATTTGATCCTTCCTTCAGTTCACCAGCAGAGATGCACTCTAGATTCCCATTTTGTATGTCAGTATCAGTCACCATCACCTTCTCAACATTTCCATTCACATTAACTGGGAAGAAATCATCTTCCTCTGGGATAATAGGTTGCTCATTAAGACCATTTTGATGGGCAACCTCCAGCCCCTCAATAGCTACTAGGTTATCCGAATCCATCAAACACTGTAAGACACACAACACAGTAAGCCAAAATACTGAATAGACTCAAATAATTCAAACAAAGAAACGGAAAGGAGCCAAAATCTATGCCGACCAAAGTCTCTAATCTTAATTGCAACACAACTCAATAAAATGCAAAATTATGGTCCAATCGCATTTATCATAGCCATATCCTTCTTTTATTTTGTAGGTTAAGCATAGCCTATTTTCCAGAATATATCAGAAAAATTCATGAAATACGAATTCCATCTCACACACTGCAAGAGAACAATAAAAAAAAAAAAAGTATTCAAGTCCTATTCATCTTGCCTCTACTTAATCGCCATAAAAATTGTGAGAAAATTCGCAAAAACCACGAACACAAATCTCATAGCTTCGGATATCGGATAAACAAAAACCTAATTCAAAAACTACGACACAAGTCTCTTTACAAATTCAGCAGAAGCAAATCGGCGAAGATACACAGTGCGAGTGCGACACTGAAACGAAAACGAATAAATTCAATAAATTCAATTCAACAGAAATACTGAATTACTGATAGTGAAGCAGAGTAAGCTTCCAAACAGCGAACAGATCCCAACACCAGCGACTAAAACCACAAACAAATTTCCCTCACATTGATCTGCTCAAGCAAAAGCATGCACCAAAGTACCGAACTCAACAGCACAAGATTCAAAAATTTTCCTCCATTTTCCACAGTTTTCTCAGCAACCAAACAGATGAGCATCAAAGCGGTTACTCACCTCGAAATGCGTGCCGCAATCAAAACTCCATTGAACTGCAACTGCTAACTAACCAAGGATCTGTGCAAGAGAGAAGGTTTTCGCGAATTAATCTGAGGATTCGCAGCTCTAAAGGTGAAGATCTTTGGGACCTAAAGAGGAAAAGGAGAAGGATTTAGTTGAAATTTGAAATTTACACTTTTTTTTTTTTTTTTTGGGGAAACCGTATGGTTCTATCTTTTGAAGGCTGAAAGGTCTTTTATACCAGCGGCTTTCAAATCTACTTGCAGGAAGTGAGTGTGAGAAAGGTAATGAAAATACGGTTAGGTTAAGATAATACGGTATACGGGTTCTTACTGAAAGGTTAAAACCTAATGTTTATCCCTCTATTTTAATAAAAAAATTCTTTTAGTCCTATTACTTAAGAAAGTCTCTTTTTAATCCTTAAAATTTATTATCTGACTTTTTTTTTTTTTTTTTTTCATGTATTGCTAGATGTTAGGATAGCTAGGTGATCGAACCCATCTTAGTGATCGAACCCATCTTAGTAATCGAACCCAAACCAAATTATAAATTTATAATTTAAAAGTTCGGTTTGTAACATAAACTTTTGGATTCGGTTTGGTTTTAACCAAAATTTTAAATACTTTTATAATTTCAAATTAACTTTTTATTTTGTATTAAAAAATTTGGTTGGTTTTGAATTTTTCAGTTAAACTAAAAGTTTTTATAATAATTTGGTTAAATTAGAAGCTCTTTTTGGTTTTACAATTTTAGAATTAATAATAATTGTAACCGAACTAAA